ACCACTATCTTTTGACCTCTTCATTTATCACAGTGTTGATATGTGTAAGTTTGTGATAGAATTTATTTCAAGAAGCACTGGGTACATTAATGACATTAGATAGAGAAATGTAACTCAATTCCTTATTATTTTAGTTTGCATCCAAGACTAAGATCATATGCTCCAGGGAGCTTTCATGGCCACTTAATTAGTTGCTTAGGACAAAGTCTTCCTCCAATACTAAGCTATTATCCTAGAAGTGAAAAAAATTTGATTAGTGGGAGAAATAATCTTAGTTGATTTAGGGTTAATCTATTATCCTAGAAGTGAAAAAAAATTTGATTAGTGGGAGAAATAATCTTAGTTGATTTAGGGTTAATTTTTCTCTTGTTGGAATATTTTACACCAGGCCAGTTTCCTGGATGGAAATATGTTCTGTTTTGTTTTGTTTTTTGAATGATAGGCTCCTAGTTCGTTACACCCAGAAAGCACCTCAGGTGTCAACTCCAACTCTCGTGGAAGCTGCACAGAACCTAGGAAAAGTGGGCACCAAGTGCTGTGTACTTCCTGAAGCACAGAGACTGCCTTGTGTGGAAGACTATGTGAGTCTTAAACTACAATATTGTTAGCAGTGCTGCATTTTTGTCTTTAGACATTAACAAATATGTAACAAATATAACAAGGGAGTACTAACACGTGCATGTGTGTGTGGTAGCTGGGACATGGATTTAACTAAGAGAGAGGCAATTTTTATAAGTCCCATATGTTTGGTTTCAAAGATAAATAAATCACTATGCCAATCAAGGCTGTTAATTCAGAGCTGTAAATTCAATAGGGCAGTTCTTTCTGCACATCAGAGAGTGGGTGTCTGTGGAATAGTAGTGACTGTTCTGCTCCTCTGCCTGCCTGTCCTTTAGCTGTCTGCAATCTTGAACCGAGTGTGTGTGCTGCATGAGAAGACCCCAGTGAGTGAGCAGGTCACCAAGTGCTGTACTGGATCTGTGGTGGAAAGGAGGCCATGCTTCTCTGCTCTGCCTGTTGATGAAACATATGTCCCCAAAGAATTTAAAGCTGAGACCTTCACCTTCCATGCTGATATCTGCACACTTCCAGAGAAGGAGAAGCAGACCAAGAAGCAAACGTGAGTGACACCTTCTTGTTGCATTTGTCTGTAGTATTGAAAGTGAGAACTGCCAACTGTATATTTTTATTTCCAGGCAGTAATTATATTCCTGAGAGAGAAGTGTTTAGATGTTGGCATTGTGGGGTTGAAAAAGTGTTGTTTCTATATGAAAAAAAACTACTAAAAATATTTCATATAAATTATCTTTAATACTGTGGGTAAAAACCACAGAGGAATAAAATTCTAGGTGAGGCACAGTATGAAATGATAAATAACTAACTGGTGAATTTGTATAGATATAAAACTGGTGATAGAAATCGTAGGAGAAATTATTTCAAGGTATCAATAATTAGCTGAAATTATTCCATGATGAAGCCACAGCAGAAGCAGGAAAAAGCTATACATGTGACTTTCAAGAATAGGATAAGAAATATCTGGAAATGCACATAGGAGGATTGACTCCTCATTGCTCTTGGGAGAGGTTCCAATAGCATGAAATGCAGAAAGAGGTTGTCATTACCTTTGGGCACCATGTTACAAAACTCATGCTCTACATAGCTCTTTTTCTCTGGTACTGTTTGTTCTATGGATATCAATTGGCTTGTTTTCATTCTTACAACATCCACATTATTAGCTTCAAATGGGCAGATGTAAGAGAGTAAAATTCCATATATTAAGTACAAAGATAGAAGTCTTTCAGGAAACTTCCTGAAACAACATAAAGCACAGAGTGACTTGCACTAATTATTCCATTTGATCCAGACTTAGCCAAGGGCACAAGTGCCCTCACATATAGTCAAGAATACTAAGATTAGCAACAACATGCTTGGTCCTTGAAGCCAAAGTCACTTGGCTCCAGGATTTGTAACCTGAAACTGTGGCCTCACCATGTTTGCTGCCCTGTTTTCCTGTATGGGAGTAACCATTTCCTTGCTGTTCTTGCTTTCTGTCCTGTTGCAGGGCACTTGCTGAGCTGGTGAAACACAAACCCAAGGCTACAAGTGACCAGCTGAAGACCGTGATGGGCGAATTTGCAGCTTTCTTGGATAAGTGCTGCAAGGCTGACGACAAGGAGGCCTGCTTCTCTGAAGATGTAATAGAGTGTTTTTCATTTTGATATGATCAGTTTCCATTTTATGCATTTGGTCAGGTTAGGGCTTAGAAACTCACATGCTGAATAATGCAATCCATATAGATTGTGTTTGCTATGGAACTGTAATACAAACTGACTTACATAGCTCTTAATTTTTATCTCCTACCACACTGTGGCATAATAAATGTTTGTAATGGCCATTCAGCTCCAAATTTATGACACTTACAAACATAGTTAGAAATATTTGTAGAACCCAGAATCATTAACTTGTTTAAACCTTGTCCTGAAATATTACATTTTGAATTGAGTTATTTTACACATGAGGGGAAACATTTGTAATTACATGTCTGAATAATTTCACATTTCCCCTCTTGGCCTAACAGCAATTTATTTTATTCTTTTGGATACAACAGATGTCAGTGAGCTTTGTTTTAAGAATTCTAGTTGAACTGTAAATAAGTGATGCAAGGCATGTGAATTTACTTTGTCATCACTGATAATTGTGGAAGTGCAAATTCTAATAGTCTAGCTAATATTTTTCTAACATCTATCATTTCTTTGTGTTCAGGGCCCAAAACTTGTTGCATCAAGCCAAGCTGCTTTAGCCTAAACACAACACAAGCAACTCAGGTAACTGTATTTGGGATTTTTTAAAGTAATCATAATCATTCTTCCTAAAATGGCCAAGATTTCTTACCATTTGTCAACCCACGTAGTCTAGCACCAGCCACTACTCTTAGGCTCTCAAGTGTGTTCACTGATTTGGGTTCCATTTACAGATAAGAAAATGAATACATAAAGGTACAGATTAATGCAATTTACTTAAGAGGCAGCCAACCTAGTGAGAGAAGGAGCCAAACTCCAGAATTCAAACCTAAGGTGAAGAGTTGATCATGGCTCTGTTCTGACTTCCACGATGCACTACATGGAGTCACCCACTTTAGTCCAACCAAGGGTATTTTCAGAATAAAGTTGAAACCATATGAAAGGAACATCTTTTGGTCAAAACAGTTGTATATTGTTGATTCTGCATAATTTGAGCCAATAATTCTGTAAATTAATTTCACCAGTAGATACGATGGAGCTATCTTATGGGGGTTCATGTTTCATGATAAATGACCAACTTCTGAATCTCTGATGTGTCACATGCCAAGCTTTGGCAGAATTTATATGCATATTCAAAACAGCCTCCTTTAAAAATACAGATAATTGAACATAGCTATGTTGATCAATTTTGTTTGTAATATTTTGAAAGAGAATTTTAAAAATAGATCAACAATGGGATAAGATGGCAAAAGAAAATTGTTTCTCCATATGAAAACACATACTTAACTGTAATACAAGCCAATACAAGTATTCAGGAAAAGAACCTACAGATATAGTTATTTCAAAAATTATTTCCATTTTAGAAGGAAAAGGAAATTTTGTTGCATTCTTAGAAGACATCTTTCATTTGTAATAAATTAAGTAATCAGTAGTAATAAATTAAGTAGCAAGTATTGGTACCTCTGACTTTGAGACTTAATGGACAGGATGGGTCACAACTCGCATCACTGTGTCCTTTGCCCACTGAGTGAGGGAGCTCAGATAAGTCAAGATCATGCTTAGCTGTCTACTGGTGAAAACTACAAAAACAATCCCCCTAAGGGATTCAACATTTCTAAAAATAGGTTTGGAAAACATACTCCATTTTATGAAGAGCACTTAAATTTCTCTTTCTGTTTTTCAGTCTACCCTGAGAAAAAGAGAGACATGAAGACTCAGGACTTACTCATCTTTTCTGTTGGTGTAAAACAAACACCCCGAGGAACACAAATTTCTTTAAACATTTGACTTCTTTTCTCTGTACTGCAATTAATAAAAAATGAAAGAATCTACTCTGTGGTCCAGGACTATATTTTCAATGACATACTCCCCCCTGACAGCCTTGTAGGCTCTGGGAAATACACAGGTGCACTTCACCCTCACTGTCTTGCAGGCTCTGAGAAGCACTCAGTTTTCTTCCTTCCTTCCCTTCAGCAGAGATACTAGCTCCTGATGGGCAACACAATGAAGACAAATGTTAATATTCTCCTGAGTTATGGGTAGTGAGCATATAAACTAATTTCAACATTATGAGAGTTCTTAATGAGAGACTTACAGCTTATGAACCATGGCTTTCCCTTGTCAGTGGGACTCTAAGAATGAGGTGGGGACAAAGGAGATAGGAATAACTTTAAAAGTGGCTAGCTGAACTGGTACAGTAAGTGATCTGAGAAATATTTGCTAGAGTTTGGGATGATAGTATAAAGCCTCAAGAAGCCATGATGGATGAGGGTGATCTGGAGAGGTACTGAAGCACACTGGATTGATGAGCATTGGCTGGTGAAAGAGTCATGTAAAAAATTCAGAAGTTACATTCAATGTGAGACTCTTTTCTCTGTTCCAGGAAGTGATTGCTCATATATAAGCTGACCTATGAATTTTATAGACTTACCCAATCGTTGTCTATGAATTCACATGCATAATCATTTATAGCCACATGAAATTTTATTATTATATACTGGTTTCAAATTGTTCATATCATTCTACAACTGGCTATTAGTAATCCTTTATAGTTTCATTTTAAGCATGACACTTGAAAAGATGATAATACCACATTTAAAGAAAGGTCCTTTTCAATCCGCATACATTCCACACTGACCTCTCCCTCAACCTGTACTTTGGTCTCCTGATGAAAGTATAAAAGGTAGAAGAAAGACCGGAAGGATAGAATGAATATTGGAACCTGGCCTGATGGAAACCAGGAAGTATAAGCAGACAGTTTTGAGTAAGGTGGTGCTGTTTAACTGGGCCAGTAAGGGTCCAGGTCTAGACGCACTATCTGGACGGTACTGCCTCATTAAGCACTCCTAGATATCCAAAGGGAACATAGATCTTTAAGAGAATTAGGCTCCACAATACACTATTTCATGAGCTTCCACTTCTCCTGCTTCCCATGGAGTCAACATCTTAAACTAATGAGCCTAAGTCAGCTCTGTTTTTTTGCGAGAGCATCTATCATCTACCTGTATGTCTCTGTATTTTGCTTCAAGATTCAGAATGCTGGGCTACCAGTATATTGCAGGCCTACTGGTGTGTGTGGATTAAAGTTGGTCTCATAACACACTGTGGACATGATTTAATACTGTGATGTTAGGTTGATGACTTATTTTCATAAAGGTGGTGTTATTACTTTTTCCTTTGCATAGTGTTTTTGGAGAAACAAAGCATTACGCAGCTCACCCACAAATGAGGCATGAAAGGTATCAAGCTTCTGGAAGGGGAACGTCTATGTGTTTTATTAGAATTTCTCAGGAAGATATGTTTGCTTCATAGTTATTTAATTATTTATAACAAAATGAACTCAATATTCAGTCTGAATTTGGGGTAATAATTCAGTTACATATTTTATTGCTCAAATTATTAGAGCTTTGGCTGTTTGGGCTAATTTCAGGGGCTATTGTATCCCTTTCAGGTGTCTACATGCTTCATTTTTAAGTATTTCTCACTTCCTGACATGAGATGATACAGATTAATCTGTGTTTTCCAGTCCTCAATCATTATATCAGCATTTCCAAGCAGCTCCGATTCCTTTCATTAGAGACTGGTATTGTAAAGGTCTGAGTACTGGCTGTGCCCCTCACTAGTGAGGGCTCACTGTCTCTATGACTTTGTAGGGAACAGAGCTAAGAAATTTAAGTATATGAACATACATATGTGGATGTACGCACATGTAATATATCATATTATATCATATCTATCTATCTATCTCTATCATCTCTATCTATCTATCTATCATCTAGATATCTAATCCTGCCATCTTTCATCTATTCATCTATCTACCTATCTAATCTATCATCTATCTATCATCTATTAATCTAATATCTATCATCCATTTATCTATCAAATCTATTTATCATCTATCTAATCTATCTATCTATCTATCTATCTATCTATCTATCTGCATCATCTACGTGCATATGAGTTCCACCTGATAACTCTCACTTTATTTCAGAACCACAGGGCTCATTTCAACCTTCCTCTTGACAGGTATCAGTCTGTCTCTTCTCTTGATAGTGAGGACTTGTCTTCCTCTGTCTGCCCTCCATTTATACATTTGTCCAATCCCAGGATACATGTTAAAGAGCTTTAGAATTATTGAGCCATACTTCCCATGAGAACTATTAACAAGTAGAGTACAGTAATTACATGCAACTTCTTTTGTCTTTATTTAGCCTTATAGTTTTTATTAAAACATTGTTCTCCAAAGTTATTTAGGCCAATTTTATCTTTTCTTCATCCTCTTCAGTGAGGTTATGAGTTGGTTTGGGTAGAGTCACATATATACTTGGTACAAGATGGGTTTAGGCTCTGTCGTGACTGATTCTTTGACTTACACTGCTCAGGTAAGTCCATTATGTCTCTTTACTATATTTCAGTAGAGAAGCCTTTCTTGATGGTATAAAATGGTGGCAGAGATGGAGGTAAATATCCTCTTCCCAGGACACTCTCTGTTAATGTTACCTGGGGAATTCATTCCATTCTCTCCACAAACTTCATTTCCTTAGTCTCACAGTCATCAGGAGTGGCATGTCTATCTCTTCCCAGGGCTTTGGAGACTACTGCTCTGTCACATTCTTGGGCCATTTTAGTTGGGCCTGCCTGGTTTTCAACAGGTTTACATTTTGTTTCCTCCAGTTGGTATTACCCTTGCCGGAATATAATCACTTCCCTCACCTAACAGTAGGCCTTGTGACTATTCTATAGTTACAGTAGGCCTATATAGAGGTGTAGTGACCAATGACACTGAACACAGTGTAGAAATGCAATGATTTGGACTAAGACTTTAGAAGTAAACATTAATAGAAAGTCTATTGTTAGACATTTAAGTTAAAGAAATCTGAATAGTAAGAAACTTACAATATGGTTTTCATCAAAGATATACAACATCTAATACAGTTAAAAAAACAGAATTCATAGTAACATAATCAGTGGTATAGAATGAATAATCAAGTTACAAACATAAATTAAATACATAATAAAAACAATGTAGTGGCAAGGTGACTGACTTGTGTCAATATAGACTCCTTAGAGTCATTAAATCATCAGTCTTAACATTACTATATTTCTCATGTGGTTGAAGATACAGAAATTAGCCAAGAATACAATGTGTTTGACACTAAAGAAGGCAGTACAGGCATGTGTTATTTATTGATTCTGGAGTCAAGGTGATAGTAATTGTTAAGGCACTTGGAAACTTCTTAAGCCATGGGGACTCTATTCTTATGAATAGATTAGTGATTTTATTTGCTGTTTTATTTTGAGAACTGGTCTCACTATATAGCTCAGGTTGGATTAAAACTTGTGGCAATCCTCCTGTCTCACCCTACTGAGTTCTGGGATGACAGGCAGCTTATTAGTAGTCTCATAAAAGAGGTTAAGGAACTTTTGCAGTCTTGTTTGTGTTTCCCTCTCTTCTGGCATTTATGGCACCATGTTTGAGGAATGGGTCTTCATCAGACATTGAGTCAATACGGACCATGTGATCTTGAACATCCATGTCTCCAGAATAGAAAAACACATTTCTATTATTTACAAACTTCCACATCCCAGGCACTTTGTGGGGCTAGAGAAAAGGAAGATACCAGGGGAAAGGGTTATTCAGCAATAACTGGCACAAGGTCAAGCATTCTTTTGATATTTTCTACACCCTGTCATTCATATAGCAGCTGGTAAGAGGTGGACTCCATTTGAAAATGTCACCACCAGACAAGTGCTTAGGAAGGAATTTTTTTTCTGTACAAGCCATTGTTCCAGATGTGGTGTTTCCCCCAAGTGGTTTGTAGTTTGCCTGTGTGGATCAACTTCCTACTTTCAAGGGCCCATACCCAGCCTATCCAAAGCAGCCAACCCAGAGAAGGGTAAATGCTGCTGGAAGAATGAATGTACATTGCTGTAAAAGTGACTTTAGTCATCCCTCCATTGACATTGCCATATCTCTGCTTGACCTATATTGACGTCTGAGTTCACCTTTATTGACCTTCACATATTTCTGTCCTTTTAAGTTTGACAGATAGCTCAGTTACTCAATCTGTCTCTGAACACTTTTACTTTGTTCCGGTGTGGAGGAAGAAAAAATATTTTCCCCTATAAACACCAAAGATCCAAAGATTAAAATGCCTTTAATGATGAAAAGCATTCTTTTCTTTCTTTTTTTTTTTTTACCATTTTGATTTTCGTTTTAGCAAAACAGGTTGACAGAAAATAAGAACGGTGAAGCATTCTCCTCTAGAGCAGGGTATAGATCAGCTCAAACTAAACAGAAGAGGGAGAGTCAACTAAAACCAATTAAGTGGAAAGATATGTGACAGCTAGGGCTATATGTGAAGAGACCAAGGAAGAAACCAGCAGAGAAGACATGGGCACACAGCAGAAAGGTCTTTCCATGTTGACTTCTAGTTCCTTGATACAACACTATGCTAGGGGTTCCATGGAAAAGTGTGGGGAGGCCCTCATATATGGGCTCAAGAAACATACATAGGATAAGAAAAGAGAATTTAGCAGCATTTAGGAACAGGGAAGAAAACGTGAAGGCAAAGTTTAAACTACCCTCTTATTCCTTGAGTTCTCAGAAATATGGAGACTATAATGGCCATGAGCCTGCTTATTTTTGCCCACAGATAACATGAGTATGAGATAACAGTACCTAAATCTTCAGAGTAAAGAGAGCCATAGTGGCCTGGAGTACTACTTACAGTTGGAGTACCTCTGCTTTGCAGGATTCATTTTCAAACCCAGAGATGATAACCATTGGCTTCCTCTCAAGATACTGGGTTGTATTCACTTCTCACATATG